TTTCTAATCCAGCTGACGGGTAAAGAAGAGTCCTGGCGCCCTCGGCGGCTTTTCTCAGGCTTATATTGATCTTTCACATGTAGTGTAGCAACCAGGTACATGGCAGGCAGGGGTGCTGCGGGGCCAGGATGCAGGAGGGCCTCCAAGCCCCCAGCAAGTCTTCCCTCTTAGCTTTTCTCTCCCCCCTTCTCTCTCCTGCTTCTTTCTCCTGCCTCTGCTTTTCCTTCTGCTTCTCTTGGTGACTATATCTATACTCCTCCCATGGCCCACAGAAGTAAACAAGACAGTTTGCAGCAATGTAACAACTGCAGGTGCCCCATCAGTCAGGGCAATCCTAATGGCGGGAGGGCAGAAAAGCCTGAAAACCATTTACCCTACACTGGGGTTGCATTGGGAAGAATATTCTTCTTTTTTTGGGTCAAATTGATACCATCTGATTTCTATTTTATTTTCTGGTCTTTTAAATTTATGAAAATCTACTAGGCCCTGTTCTTATTTTTTTTTTATTTTATATATTTTTTACATCATTTTTCATTTTTGCACAACGTATGCATTTCCATCTTGGTTATATTCCCCATGCAATTCCCACCCCCCTTATTTTGACCCTAATCCCTCCTCTCCTTCCCCCCGCCCCAGTAGTGTGTCGATGGTTTATAGTTGCTCGTTGATTTTGATTTTACTATAAATTGGCCCCATTCTTGTTTTCCAGCACTTTACATTTTTATTCTTTCTTAAATACTCCTGTCATTTCAGTAGGACCTGAGGGAAAAGTAGATAGAAGGACATTCTCAGTTTGCTATCTTGAACTGGAAACTCTTCTACCCCACTTTAAATGTATGCTTAAGTGTTATAGACTTACTATGATTACACACACACACACACACACACACATCCTTGTGTTTCATTTTACTATTTTGAAATCAGACAAATTCAATGATAACAATTGTGTAGGAGTGTGCTTTCACTGGTGAATTGTAAATCCCTTGGTGAGTACTTCCCTTCACTGTTCTCACATCTGGAAAATCCCATGATGCCTATGAAATATTGGGCATTAAGTTGTTGAACCTCTGAGCAATTCTCAATGGAAGCTGTTTACGGGGGATTTGTTTTCAGCGTCCTCTTCTTGTAGAATGTGACTCATTGCCAAGAAGGCTTTATATTCCCTCATGCACTGTCACAGCACATGGAAGATAGTCAATACCTGCAAAGGTAATTCAGGCTTAACATAGTCGTGTTAAAGGCAGAAAACTATAGAGATTTAGAAGCAAAGCGAGAATTTTGCAGAACTTAGTAAAAGCTTGGAAAATCTTCTGCCTGCATGAATCCACAAAGATGCAGTTCATAAAGACAACAATTGTGGAATGTAGGGAAGCAAAAATTAAGATTTAACAATGAGCACTTAGAAGCAAAAAGAGAACATTCTGGTTATAACAGCGTCTCATGGAAAAGAGCAATGAGGACATCCAGAAGAGGATCTAAACTTTGCTGGTGCAGAAATACTCTTTGGCTATTTTGGGAAAAGGTCCTTAGTCCTTGGGGAGGGTGGTTTCAGGGAGATGCTGGGTAAGAGTCAAGATTCTGGTGGAGTGAGTAAAATTTGGTACAGAATTATAGAATACTGCTCTTGAATGTGCTTCATATACATGTGAAATCTAAAAATAATCGTTGTCTAAATGTATACAATTTAAAGAATGTTAATATAAAAATCACCCTATTTGTAATATACAAATTAGCAAACCACTTTGACTTACAGCTAAAGTTAATCTATAAATTCCATGCAACATGCCGGTGGGCCAGGCTAAGCTTTGCTATAAGGAAGAGAGCCATCCATGCCCACCCTCCCAATAATATCCATTTTTTAAAAAGATGTATTTTTATTTATACAAGAACTGAGGTACTGGCCAGAGGCATGGGAGGGTGAGAGGATTCACCAGAGACAGAGCGGGGAGCAGAACAGTCAGAAGATCTGAAAGCACTGCTGAGGGGAGCAACAGGAGAGACAGGAGAGGTCTGCCGAGCCATGTGGGAATCTCCCTGGCCGGCCGGGAATTGAACCTGTGCTGCAGAGGCTGCGGACAGCTTCACAGCGCTGCACTCAACCCGCTGCACCACCAGGGAGGCCCTCCATTATTTTATTTTATTTTATTTTTTTTGTCAGCAGCTTTACTCTGCCTGGGTTAAGATAGGGATGTATAAGTAAATTATTCAGGTTTTTATATTTTTAAGTTCCCACAAACCTTCAAATGCCATTTTGGCACTGATATTTTTGCTTTTTTTGGAGAAGAGCAAGAAAGAGAGGATTTTGCTTTATAACTAAGGTTTAAATATTTCTTTCTACAGTACAGAGATTCCTTAAAAATTTGAAAATAGATTGACCATGTGATGCAGCAATTTTACTCCTAGGCATTTATCTGAAGAATATTAAAACACTAATTCAAAAAGGTATTTGCACCCTTTTGTTCATAGACTCTTTACTCACAAGAGCCAAGGTGTTGAAACAACCTAAATATTCATTGACGGATGAATGGCTAAAAAAGTTGTGTTATACACATGCAATTTGCAGCAACATGGATGGCGCTGGAAGGGATCATGCTCAGCGAAATAAGCCAAAAAGAAAAAGAAAAATACCGGATGGTCTCACTCATAGCAGGAATCTAGAAAACTTAAATAAGGGATCAGGAAAATGAATAACTATAAGAAAGTGAAAATCAAAATCAACAAAAAACTATGAACCAGAGACAATTTTTGGGGGGTGGGGGCCGGGAGGGGAGGGATTGGGGTCAGAATGGGGCATGTGCAGTTGTATGGGGGAATATAAAAATAAAATTTATTATTTAATTAAAGAAAAAAAAAAGTTGTGTTATAGACACTCAATGAAATACTATTCGGCTCTTGAAAAAAAGATGAAATCTTGTTTTTTTTTGTTACAACATGGATGGAACTTAAAGGGATTATGCGAATCAAAATATCAGTAACCGAAAGACATGCTGGATGATTTTATTCATGTGGAATATAAATAAAGCAAACAATCTAACAAAACTCAAGAAAAATCAACTCTTAGACCCTGAGAACAAAATATGATGGCTACTAGAGGGAATGGAAAAGGGAACTGGGGGGAATGGATAGCTGAATTCAATTTGATAGTGTGAATGATACTAGACTTTTCATGGTGGTTATGGTATATTTATATATATATATATATATATATATATATATACACACACACACACACACACACACACATTTTGTGGCATGAAGCTGTAATCCTAAAATCTTGTATTTTAAAATTTGGAACACTTCATGAATTTGTGTGTTATCCTTGTTCATTTTCTCTGTATCATTCAGTTTTTACTATGCATGCAGCCAAAACAAGCACCTCCCCTAACATATCGAATTGTAAACCAATACGATTTTTTCAAAGTCATCTCTTTTAGGGATGGTTGATTGAGAGGTTGCTTCCTGGTGGGTTCTGGATTTCAGAGTCATACATGTTAGGGGCAAGCCCACTTAGTGTCATCAGCTGTAGACAGCAATCCAATGTTGTTTTAATGAGCAATTAGGTGAGCTAGTCTGGAAAACAGGCACAGTAACAGGAATAAGACTTTATTAAATGGATAAGAAGGAAACCATGTAGGTGGATATTTAAATAAAGACACTCTACAGATGGTGGAAACTCACCATGACCAAAGACTGGTTGTTATTTGTAGGGAGCAGTTCTTACAGGTGAACCTATGTGCCTCCAACTCACTTTCCACCTCCTAGTCTATTCTGGTATAGAGCCTATCTTCTTTTTTTGCCATCTGTCACCTTTATAGGGAGAGAACTGTGGGATTAAGGGAATCATAGAAGAGATGGTTAAGTCCACGAGAATCCAACTTTGACATATGGTGGTCCTTCTTTTCAAAGCTTTCATTATTCCAACCTTAATTTTTGTCAATTTGAGATTCAATAAACATGGAACTTGCTATCTTAATTACAAAAAGTGCTCTGTTGGTGTTTCTGAAGCATTGTTTTTCCTTGCTTTTGGCAAATTTTCTTGCTCTCTGAAAATCTGTGGTTTGTTGTCCTTTTATTTTGTTATTTGTACTGGTGTTTGCCTTTGCTTCCAGAAGCAATTTAATTTTTGGTTACTTCCAGCTAAGGGCAGGTCTTGGTACCCTGATGATGTGGATTTATTCTCAATATGTCTGGGTTGTTTAGAACTATCATCTTTGACTCTGTGGCCATAAAGACAGTGGTCTCTCTGGCTACCTCATTCTGCTTTTGTTTAAGATATGCTATATTTTGTAACTTTTCTGAAAAGTCTTTTTTTTCAGGTTGGCATTTGCTTTTAAGCAGTTCCTTCCCTGTTAGGATCTAAGTAACTAACTTAATTAGTTTATCTTAGTAACACATCTATGATGTTGCTTTCCTCAGTTTTAGTTACCCTTCTTTAATTGTGATCTGAAAATACTACGTACAATAAAATGAGAGTGTAACTGATTGAGAGATCATATTTGCATAAACTTTATTACAGTTATTACTATGATTGTTTTATTATTAGTTTTGTTGTTAATCTCTTATTATGCCTAATTTATATATTTTATAATAGCATGTATAGGAAAAAACATAGTTTATATGTGATTTGATATGATTGGCAGTTTCAGGCATTCAATGGGTATCCTTAAATGCATCTCCTGTGGATGAGGGAGGACAATTGTACTTAAGTGAAGAGAAAGGGTCTTTGTGAAACTAAAGGGATGTAGAAATTGGAGACACATAATGTTCTGCTTTATGACTGGCATTTGACAATGAAAAACATTTCAGCTTTCCATTTTGGAACTTTCCAACACTTGTTCCAACATTTAGGCTGGAAAAAACCAATGCCCTTCAAAGTTCAAAGGAAAGAATTCTTGCAACCTTGACAACAATCAAAGTAGACTACATGATGTTAGTTTAATGAGTTATATGTTTCTTTGGGTTGAAAATTTAATTTCATACCTGATTTCTCTTCTCTTTAGAAGTGGAGAGGATAGTGAAAGCCAATGACCGTGAATATAACGAAAAGTTCCAGTATGCGGTAAGTAAAGCAAGCACGCACAACACATACATGCTTGGGTAGGTCTTACTGTGAGGACAGTGGGAGTCATGTTTTATAGGACTTTATCACTTCTCTAAAAACTTTCTTTGTTGGCCAATTTTAAAAACAAACAAACAAACAAATAAATAAATTTCCCAAATTATGTTTATTGAGGTAATGGAGGTTTACATCTTTGTAACTGCTCTGCGGATTATAGGTTCAAACCTCTACAGATGTATACTTTTCCACCCTGCCCACCACCAGTGCCCCACAATCCTCCTCCATGTTCCATCCCCACCACACTATCCTCCCCCAGCTTGTTCCCTCAATTTTGCAATTAGATGTTAAGAGTTTGTTATTGGTTTGGTTTTGACTGATCCTTTATTATGTTTCTCTATATTGCACATGTAAGTGAGACCATCCTGTATTTGTCTTTCTCCTGCTGACTTATTTCACTTTGCATTATCCTCTCTAGTTCCATCCATGTTGTCCCAAGTGGCAGGAGTTCATCCTTTTTTATAGCAGAGTAGTATTCCATTGTGTATGATATATATTCCATTGTGTATTTTTTGGGAAAGATTTATTTATTTATGCATACAAGAGCTGGGGCATAGGTCAGAAGTGTGGGGGGTGAGAGGATCCATCAGAGACAGAGCGGGGAACAGAACAGGCAGACTGACTGAAATATACTGCTGAGGGGAGCAGTGGGCGAGACAGGAGAGGTTTGTCTTGCCATGTGGGTTTCTCCCTGGCTGGCCGGGGATCGAACTCGTGCTGCAGAGGCTGTGGATTGCTTCATAGTGCGGTGCCCAACCCCTTATGCCACCAGGGAGGCCCTCCATTGTGTATTGACATATACATATTATAGCTATACCTATATACACCATGTGCATGTTTTTATGTATGTGCATATGAACTTACTTTTCCCTAATCCACTCTTGTGTCCTTGGCCACTAAGATGTTTCTCTTATTTAGCTATTGTAAATAGGACTGAAGTGAATATAGGAGTACATATATACCTTCAAAGGAGTGTTTTTATGTTCTACCTAGGAGTCAAATTAGCAATTTGGTAGATACATTTTTAATATTTTGAGAAACCTCCATACTGTTTACTATAGGGAATGGATCAGTCTATACTCCCACTAAGGGTGTATTAGAGTTTTTCTCCTCCACATCCTTGTGTTGGCCAATTTTAATAGCAACGTGCCATTTGTTTTTGTAATATATATTTTAATAATGTTTCTACACTTATTTCTCTGAACTAAGAATGGTTCATATTTTTATTGGTATGGGAAAAAGACAAAATATTTTCTTCCTCGAGGATTAATGCTTAGTTCACACTGGTGCCCATTTGGGCACTAGAATACATAGTGATAATATAAAAATGGGCTTCTACGGTGATGCTTGGTGTAGAAGTGGTGATAGTAGTGGTAGTGTTAGTTACAAAGTTCAAATTTGTACTGAACTACTTTTTGAACAGGATTTTATTTGAGTGTGTATGGAATGGCTAGTACTATTCTGGAAACTTGGGATTCACTGGTGAACAACTTGATGAATTATATGATGGATCCTCATAACAATCTCTTTATCTTTTTATGGCTCAATCTAAGTTGCTACATGGAGCCTTTTATAGTTCTTAGAAATTAGAATTAATTTTGTATTTGACATGTGGCTTGTAAGATATTTTATAAGGTTGAATTTACCGTAAGTTTAATGAAGGAAAGTCTGAATTCAAAGAGATGCTTGGTGATTATTAAGGCATAAAATGTGGGCAAACTTTGGCAGTGTCCCTCCAGATACTGGCCAGATGAGAGAGGATTTTGGAAAAGAGATCATTTTATTGTTTGGTCCCAATTGACATGTCTTTCCCATATATGGAGATGGGTGAATTGAGCTATTGTATTTTTGATAACAGTATGTATACTATTAAATATTCAATATATGTAGCTGACAACTCCTCTTTTTCATACTGTGCTAATCACATAATTTGATGTTCAATATAACTTTTCCTGTAGAGAGTCAGTATGTTATCTCTATGACAGATTTCCCAATGTAAAAATAATATGTTTGCATGTTGTTTTTATTCCTCAAGCTCGTAAATTTGGTAATAGTAAGCCTGTCTTTCAGAGAAGGAATCCCTCTCAGGAGGTTGATGAGCTTGCTTTTTAGCCTGAGAGAGGGAGGATTGTAATTCCCGTGGTGATTATGCCACTCTGTGTGGCCTCCTGATATCTAGTCATTTAACCCTCTGCCCAATACCGTTTTTTGACTTGATGACTCTATTCATTCTGTTCTTTAGCTACAGAGGGCGATCCTTGAAAGCCTTGAGCAACAGCCCCCAAATCAGGAGAGTAGACATGTTAAGACCTTGGGGAAAAATCGGAAATAGGTAATCTACTGTGGAGTAATTATGCATCTCAGTACTTGGCTGTCTTGCTTGTTTTCCAACATATAAAAGTATTGCCATTCTTTAAGTAGTAACGCTTTACAGGAGTAAAGTCTGCATTTTGTGAGATGTTAAAGTCTTTTCTATTTATAGTTATTTTTATTTAATTTATGAATCATTTCAAACTTATAGATATGTTAATTGGCTATGAGTGCTTCAGATCTACGATTCCTTTTAAAGTAAAAACACGATATAGTAACATAGATATTTTCTGTTGAATCTGAATGATAGCGAACAAAAATACACAGATGTGTTGCTGCTGTTATGGTTTCTGTCCTCACAATGACAAGGCAGTAGGACAGTATTCCATAGTCTCAGCAGACCCAACAAGATCATGCAGTCTCTGAGTTAAAACGTCCAAGAAAAAACAAAACCCATTATAGCTGGGCCAAAGCAATAATGACAAAAGTTGAGAAAGGGGACAGCTCTCCTCCCAAGACTGCCTGTCTGTGTCTATGCATGTCTCTCTCTTTTCTTCGTTCTTCTTTTCCTAGTAAATACACCCTTTAAAAATGTTAAAAATTAAAGAGCTGAAATAGGAAGACAGTAGCTCAGAGAGGGGCACAGTTTTCCCAGGTCTAATGGGCACCTGGCTCAGAGGGAGGGACACTGGCAGGCCCTCCTAGAAAGCAAGCATGGGTTCCCACTAAGCCCTATGGTGGCGTCCTGATGCCGGAATGACTGATAGGATGCAGGTCACATAGTGAGCTGTGGGACACTCTCAGTCTGTTCAGCTACAGATTTCATAGAGTTGTTGCAAGAATTGAAGTAGAAAAATATACAATGATTCTATGGAGCTAGTCTAAGTAGATGGGATTTGACTCTATCTGACTTAAGACTTTTTAACCACTTCCTGTTTGAAATGTCTTTTGAAGAAGGGGAGAAGTCTGGGGCCTTTTGCTCAGTCTTGCCTCATTTTAAAGGACATAACTCCAAATGGCAATGGATTCAAAAAGACCCCAGAGAGAATGTTTAAAATAGAAAAAGCCATATTCCCTTCTAAATGCTGGAAAAGAAATGGAAATAAACTATAACGTATGAAAATCATGAAAGAAGAAATGGTAAAGGTCCCTGAAATGTAGTGGGAAGAGTATTTGGGGATAAGGTAGACCATAGTTTGAATCCTTTTTCTCTCCTTTATTTGCTAGTTTATGATCTTGATTTATTTATTTCTCTGAGCAGCAGTTATTTTACCTGTGAAGTGAGGAATTTTCCTCATAGGCTTATATGCTAAAGGGTTATTGAGATAATTTATGTAAAATATTTGGTACTAAGACTTGTCAATATAGACACTATGTGTCACGTACTTTGCTAAACATTTTATGTGGATTTTTCTCTTAACCCACACATGAATATTGGCAAGTATTATCATAAAATTTTAGATTCCTTGTAAAGCTCTGTTTAAAATAAGGTATCAGTGATAATAATGTTAAGAAGATACTGGGAAATTGGCAAAAGTGATAAACTTTTGCATAGGTATCATGCCAAAGAATGAGCAAATCTCTGATATTAAAGATGTGGAAATTGCTGACAACTAGGCAGATGATGCAATAGTAGAAAAAATAAATGTACCTAAAACAAGAAGGCTAACAGTATAAGTGATTTTGACACTAGCAACCCCTCTACCATCTGCTCCTCCAAATAATTCATATGGAAATGATAATTCAATGAGTTACTTAATCGAATGCCTATTCTTTGCAAAGCATTTGATGAATTCAGGACATTTTCCTGAAAAATTCAGTATCGATATTGACAGATATATGGTTAATGGTGATAATAAAAACAATACTTTTTTTTTTTTACAATATAAATAACAGCTTACATGTGTATAGTGTTTCCCATGTGAAAGGCATGGTTCTAAACATACTAACATATTAAACTTATTTAATTTTGCAAAAGTTTTATGAAGAGCGTATTTTTATTAACTCACTATTATATATGAGGACACTGAGGTAGAGAGATCTCATTTAAGATTCCCATCCCTGTAGCTGTGAGTCCCTAGTATGTACCAGGTGCTTTGCACATATTGCTAATCTTCCACAAAATCCAATGAGATGAAGTGGGACTCCATTTAGTGACTTGTCTAAGGTCACACAGCTGACAGGTGGCAAAGATGAAATTCTAATTCAATCTGTTTTTCCCATGATACCTTGCTGTTCTTTTGACCAATCTTGAAAAACAAACCACGAACAAACAGGTCAACAAACAAAATCACTCCCCCTGACACCCCAGCACCCCTTTCTCTAGTATACATACTGGTTAAGTTTTTGTACTCTGGAGACAAAGACAGATACAGGATGTGTAAGGTTTTTCCAAATGTGAGGTTAAGAATGGCCTTAAATCTTACCATTAGCATTTGTTGATGAGGAATTGGAAGAAAAATTTATACTGAGTTCATCTAAAAGGTTCAGTTTCCACAAGCACTAAGCCTGGACAAGCAAACTTTTCTCTTTGAAGGCGAAGGAAGCTATTTCAATATATAGAGAGCCTTGGGCCTCCCCAGTGGCGCAGCAGTTGAGCGCTGGGTTGCGAAGCTGCCCGCAGCCTCTGCAGC